CGCACCAACCAGCCGCGTAGCTTTACCTGTCCGGCCCCTTTCTTCTTCTTCTTCTTCGTCCAGTGAAAGTCGGACGGAGGAAGTGAACGCGCTCCTGGTCGGAGAGAGACAGCGGACGGACACACCGGCAACGACAAGCCGCAACTTGCAGATTCCCGCCCCGGCCCAGTCTGCGCTCCACTCCGCAAGTTTCTCGAGTCGATCCGAGAAGGAATAACCGAGCTCGCTCCGACACCCGCCAACTCCCCACGCCGCAGAAACAACGCGGCGCAGTGGTGGATATTAAGGTCCAGCTCGTGTTCCGCGCGGAAGAATGGCGAGAGATCACGCAGCGCGCCGCCCGGTCCCTCCGGGGAGGAACGCTTGGCTGACGGTGGCGATCTTCCTCGCGGTCCAAGGTAAGGCAACTCCCCCCCCTGTCCTGCTGTCCCCCCTGTCCCCCCTGTCCCCCTGTCCCCTCTGTGCCCGCTCTTCCACCTGCGTTGTGCGCGCGTAATGTACCGCACTTGTCTGTGACCTGTTGTAAAGAAACAGAAGGAACAAAAGTTGACCGCGTTTAAGCACTATGCCGGTGTGTGTGTGTGTGTGTGTGTGTGTGTGTGTGTGTGTGTGTGTGTGTGTGTGTGTGTGTGTGTGTGTGTGTGTTCTGGGGAGCGAGGTGTGGCCCTGCTGGCCCGGTGCCCCTTGTTGTTGTGGTCCTGATTCCTCACTGCTTCAGACTGTTCAGGGAAACAACTAATCCTCTCTGAGCTTCTACCAAAACCTCTTTAACAACGCGGCTCACCTGTAATCTGTGTTTACCTGCGTGCGCGTGCGTTGCGTTGCGGGGGGGGTTGATTACCGGGCATTACGGTAATGGCAGCAGTCGGTGCTGGTTTGTGGCCCCTCAGAGAGGCTGAGAGCCCTGAATAAATATCACCTCCATGTCTGCAGCGCGGGGGGGGGGCAGTTATTACTAACGTCTCCCTGCATAACTCTCAGATCAACGATAGTCCTATTCCGCTATAAGACACATGGGTATGTTCACAAGTTAATTAAACACTTGATATATTTTCCCCAAGAAGGACATGATGTTGAATTAAGATTCAGCCTCAGTCCCAACAAAAAGCTCTGCGTTCTTCACCTCGAACCACTTTAAATCCGACAAACTCCCCATGAAGGGAACTTTGTTTGTTTGTGTCATCATGGGAAATGTTCACAATGATGAAGTATTGATGAGCTCCTGTACCAGAAGAGACGCATAATGTTTAGAGCAAGCCGTTACAAATGTCATTTAATATTAAGATTTCATGAATAATGTACATTTTCTAACAGAATCAGTGCCTCCCGTTGGCCATGTGCAGCCATGACACCACCCTGTCTACACTAGCTCGCTCCTCTTTGGAGGAACTGATGTTTCTGTGTTGTACCACAACATGTTGTTTCACTTTGATGCTTTATTATATCTCTATTCCCTCTCAGACCGAAACGTGGTGTTTCTAGTGTTTTTAGGTCTCTTTAAGCCGCGCCGCCCGATAAACCCAGTCTGGACAGACCTGGTCTTTGATAAAACCCAGAAGTCTCGTTGCTGCACAGGCAAAGTCAGTGTGTCATGATATGAACTCTTACATTTTCTTATTTTTAAATTATCCTTTGTACAGTTCTCTTTTTTTTAAATCAGCTGAGTGCTTGTTAAATAAATGATTCTGAATGAAATGTGCCGCGGCAGGCTGTTTTAAAGTGGAAAAAACACTTAAGGTAAGGATAGGAGGAGACCACTCAACACTACTGCACTATAGATAAACACCGGACATAAAAACAAACAGAACAAATACTTTAAGCCCGACTTGAGAAAAAAGAGGGTCAGAACTTTCACCATATGTGGCAGCGTGCATGACGTGTCTGCGATGATCGCGCTCGGCTGATGATATCTGTGGTGCAACTGTCAAGTGATGCAAGCACAGTGAAAGACTGTATGAATACTGTAATATAATACCAACATCATGCTGTATTTTGAGTGACACAATGAATGCACGCCACGCTCCTGTTGGTCCCGAAAAAGGATCAGCAGGAGCCCGCCTTCTGTTTTCACTGTTTGAATCTTCTTGCATTCTTCTGGCCAAAGCGACACATTATCATTGTGACACTCAAAGTGACACTACATGTAAGAGCTCCACAGTGATTAACGTGGAGGTATCCTCACTAAGAGTCCCTGCTGAGTAATGCAGTCGCCCCCCCCCCCCTCCTGAACTGAGACCAGCTGCAGAATTCACAACAACAGGCAGTGACAGCCATAACATCCCCGTGAACCTGCTCCTTCAGCTTGTTGTTTGCACCTGGGTGTAACTGGCATCATCCGTCTGAGCTGTCCCCAAATTGTCACCCAGGGGGAAAAAAGGAAAAGAAAGAGGGGGGGGGGGGAAAGCCGGGTGATTACGGAGCCGGGAGACGCGGCGCTCTCTCGGGGACAGGCCTCGGCTGTGATCAAAGGCAACGCAGGGCGGGCGCTTTCAACGGAGCCGCAGAGAGCTCGGCATCTGTTGCAGCAGGCTGAAGGTGACCTGAGTGATTTCTGAGCGAGCGCACACGAGGCGGGAGGGAGCGTCCGCCCCGCCAGGAGCCTCGTCTGTAATGGCGCTTTCGGATCGCCGTGCGAGCGGCGCTGTAAGTAGCAAGGGCGGCTCGCGTGAGCGCGACAGACACTCGGACCGGCCCGCATCAGGCCTCGTGTTGTTAGCGACCGCTGCAGCGCCACCACTACTGTCTTTATGCCGGGAATAAAAAAATCATCCTCAGCTGCTCGGCAGGGAGTTACTCAGACTGAGTGCGAGGCTGATTTCATACGACGCCACTTCTCTTTAAAAGGTGGGCTTGCGTGCGTGTTCAGACAGGCTGGCATCCGCTGGTGTGCTGCATTCTCTCTACTGGCCATCAGGGGGCGACTCCTCTGGTCCTCTAGAAGTCTATACATGATTTATTCCCTCAGTGAACATTTTAAACCCTGAGTTAAGGTCTCAATCTCACTACAGCATCCTGTTCTCTAATGAACGTAAATGATGGTCGATTTAGGGTCAACGTATCATAAAGCAGGAGATGCTTTCGGTTCCCAGAGGTCCCGCCTCCTCAATCTAAATATCTTCCCTTTTTTTTCCACTTTTTGCAAAAAGCAAAGCTGGCGACGGCCAAAACGCCGACTTGGAAGCTCCCATCCATCCCAGTGGCTGTTGTCACGACAACCACGTCCACTTCCTAGACGCAGTCTTTGTATAGACGGGACGATCTGTGGGTTTTTCACATGGCCAGGAAAATAAGCAGCAGGGACCCTTAGAGCTTAACCTTCAGCAGTCAAAGTGGAGTCACAGAGGATATGTTTCCGTGGCAATGATGATTAAGTCACTTCAGGTGTCTCCGCTCCCTCCCGTCCTCGTCTCTACAGGCCTGATTCTGTGCTGAAATGTCAACGATGATGAGTGCCCCCTCGACGGCTCGCTGCCGACGAGGGCCTGATTAGCTTATCACTGGGGGAGCAGGCGGACGATGATTATCGCCCTCAGCGCACCGCAGCCTGATTATCGAGGCTCTTACTAATGACTCATCATCGCCCCATTTTGCCGTTTGACGTAGTTTTGCCGCGGATTTGTGTTTGGAGGGTCGCGATGAGGAAACCTCAGAAGCCGTCTGCGGCAAGCTCAGCACCCCGGAGCATAAACTCCTCAATAACCACAGGACTATTTCATTAGAACTGGAAAGGTACCGACATCCAACATTCCTTACCCACGAGTGAAACGTTTCATGGATGAGGACCAACCAGGAGGGTAAAAGCCCCGCCCAAGCATACAGGAGCAACATGGCTCTGTGAAACCAATGTGTGTGTGTGTGTGTGTGTGTGTTTCTCCAGCGGACATCCAGAGTGTTTAATCAAACCGTTGTAATCATCCACGGCAACGAGCAGGACGGGTCGGGGGGGCTTCAGAGCGTCCATCCGTGCTTTCGACCTCTGAGGCAGCGGCACAATTACTTCAGTTTTTTTTTTTCCCTCTTTGCCGGCTTTTTTTAGTTGATTAATGTATCGGGCGAAGTCGGGAGGCTGAAAATCTCCCATTATTTCACATGCAAAGGGGCAAAAAACTGCAATTCTCAGTTTAAGGAACAGTTTATTCTGGCTCTGTATAAATCCCTTCACAGCCCCCCCTGACCCCCTGAGGTCCCAAAGGATGGGGAGCCATCGTTATAATCCACTCGCTGGTGCAGAGATCCCGACCCCATGGAGGCCGGGGGCAGAAAGACTAAATGTCAAGTGTGTCTCCGAGGGAGGGATCTTGTGTGTGTGTGTGTGTGTTTGTGTGTGCAGGGGGGGGGGGGGGGGGGGGTGTCTTTCCCTCAAGGTAGTTAAGAGGTATCACTGAAAGGTTGAAATGCCAGCGAGGGTCTTTTTAGCTCACGTTTATCGGTTTTAAAATATTCACAGAAAAGTCAAGCTTCAAACTTAATACGGTAAACTAAACAGTAGGAAAAAGAAAAGGCTGCGGCAGAAATGGATTCTAACATTACTTTCAAAGATGAACCATATTAGCAGATTCAGATCCATTTTGTGGTTTTGTAAGCAGCGGATCTACTTTGGCAAATCAATCCTTTTACTTTGTTATAGTCATGTGTAGTGTTTAGGTCCATAAAAACACACAATTCACAATTTAAGGAATGAAGAATAGTAATCATTTGATTGATAAACCAATCTTTTGTTCGTAGCTTAATGTTTTATTATAAACTGCTTTGTTAAACGGCTCATGATTCATCTTCAATATTTCTTGTGTTGCTGTGAAAACATCTGGATTCATTCAAGTCTCTCACCAAAAGTACGCTCAACAATGTTACATGTCAACATATGAGAACGTTATAATATGGCCACGCCTGGTACCAACTCACTAAACAGAACCTGAATGCATTATAATGCAACTCATTAGCCATTAGCGGTGCTACTAACGTTGCTGCTTAAGCAATAATCCATCTTTTATCACCGCGATGGTTAATATGTGTAATTAATGGGCGGGTCACATGTGTTCCGTACGGCGATGGAGGTGGGGGCCCCCTTAAACCGGTCCATTACGCCACTATTAGTTGTGCATGCTGGATGGGATAATGGCCATTTTTTTGTATTCACAGTTAAGTGTGTTTTATTTATGAAGCTGTTGTCACATGCAGTAGAGGTGGGGGGGGATTGGCGGTCCCGACCTGCAGCATCAGGCATCTCCTTTGCAGAGGTAGAGGGTGATAAGCGTTTCATTTCACCCCCTTTCGATTGGTCGACCGGGGCTGCATCCCATCGAGTGCGCTGTGATTAGTTTGTCTGTTGTTAATGAAGTTGAGACGTTTTGTCCTGCGCGTGTTCCCTCTGATCAAGGATCCACGTGTCGATGATGAG